AAAAACAACGTCGCTCTTTGATAGCTAACATTGTCTATTTAACATCACAATAATTCATTATTAAACCTATAGTTGTTTTTTGAATTGTACTCCACAAATCTCAGCCGATACCTCGCACAACTGGCTAACTGTCTCTATCTATTGTCGTGACATCATGGTTCGCTGGCTCACACTTGTGATATGTCTCGCACTTGTGATCAAATAACACGCTGGCTTGCACTTTGGCAACACTCTTTGGCAGTCAACTCGCCCCTAGAAAACCCGCCCTTGGAAACTTGCCCCATAAAAAAAAATACACTTCCTAGACCATGCAGTCTTCAAAATAAAAATTGTAACCTTTGGTAATCAACTACATTTTCCACATACATAGAAATTTTTGAAACTTAAACCATAATTCCACACTATAGACACTTTTTGACAAAAATGAAAAATTACGACTTTGTTACCCAATGAGAAGTGTTCTAATATAGACAATGAGTCGTGTCTCATATTATTTGTTATAGTTTTATTATTCATTATTTTCATTTGACTAGCATAAATAATTTTGTTCGAAAAACATTTATATGCAGTTGTACTTCGCAGCACTTCACTTGCAATTTGCAATTTCTAGTTATTACAAATATTGTCAATATTCTACCAATTTTATTATTTTACTTGCAATTACGTTATTTCCTAAAAATCAATGATTGTGCAATCATTTTCTATATAGTGACCATACATTAATAAATTAATTAATTTGTGATACGAAGAATATTCACAATTGGGTAATTCCACAGTGATTATAATTTAAATAAAAGGCCTTTAAAAAAATACAAACCTGCCTAATGTACATCTTAGTAGCAAATTTAGGATAAAAGAATGGGGGAGGGGTGGCACATACTATAGTGGAAGCTGGTTGTTCGGACAGGAGTCCTCCTTCATAAATACTCTGTCAAAGCAAACATGGATTTAGAGGAGAATGACCAATTATGAATGACCAATAATGACAAATAAAGAATGAACAAAGGAGATAACGGACTCCTAACAATTACACAGAATTCATAGCTAATCTATTTAAAGGGCTTTACAAGGAAAGCACTGAGTTGGTACGATGCACAGTGGGTTGTCATGTGTCTGGATAATTCCAAGCCTGCAGAGGTCATGCTTAAGTCACCAATATCAGTCGATGAAGATGGTCAGTGGTTCACCTGACCAACTGCATCAATTGTACATTATGTCCCCTAAGTTCATAATGACTCCCTAAGTTCATAATGATTGTGTAATCACTACTGTCACACACAGTTTGATCATGGTTTGATATTAGTAGGAAGACCTCCACCGATGTATTGTCTTTAGTAGATCATCAGGTTACGCTTATTAGTTGTAATTGGTGTGGCGGCATAATATCAATTTACTCATCGTCCTTGCCGTGTACGAGTTCCAAGAATCAATTCTGAAACATTTCATTACAATTCAGTACAGAAACAATTAATGTTAAACAAATTACAATATTAGGCATGCCATCCAAAAACCAACGTACAGACGCTATATGTTAAATTGAGTAATTAACATGAGAATGTGCCAGTATTGTATACTTTAGTACAGAGAATCTGTAATACTTTTACTCATAACTTTGGAAACAGTAGTAATTCGATTCCAGTAAATGACCAATTACTTAAAGCATACAATAAGGAGAATAAGCATAAGTCAATTTTTATTCTTTGTCACTGATGGTGGTTTTGGATGGCAAGCCTCTAGCATTATTGTTGGTCATAGGACAACAAGGAGCCAAAATGAAGAGTTTTGCTGCATAGATCACCCTTGCTATTTAATCCAACAGCATACATTTGTAATGTTTTGTTCGTAGGCAAACATTTTAATAAAATAATAATTGCACCCTAAAGGTGTATTCACACCGAATCCGAATTTGGTTCGTGCGTGTAACGAAACGAAAAAAAAAAATCAAATCAGTAGTAAAGAATAGAGGCGCGTACTAAGATGCGCATCGAAAACGTTCTACGAACCGAATTCAGATTCGGTGTGAATCTACCTTAAAAGATATAAATATAGGGAAAAGACCTCAGATGGGTAAGCTTAGATATTGAAAATCATGGCAAAAACTAGGGGTGAAATCAGTGATTATGAAAAACTGTTTCTAAAAAACTCCAAGATGAGTAGGCCTTAAGGACCTGAAAAAAATTAGAGTGGAGTAGAATAGTTAGAGTGGAGCTAAATAGCTTGATGGTTAAGATGTTTGCTTTCCAATCACAAGTTCCTGGGTTCAATTCCTGTCATGGTAACAGGATTTTTTTTCTCATGACTGAACATGTGACATGCCCATATATAGTAGTGCTATGCCTATATATGGTCATGGTGTGATGTCATCATGCCCATACATGGGCATATCACACTTTTTTGTCACACAAAATTTGATAGTGTAGACTGAGCTTTAGCTTCATAATGAGACATAGTCTTATGTAGAGCATCTTGTGTGTGTGTGTGTGACGAGATTGCTACTTTGAAGAGTGATTAAGTTCACTGTTTGGCATATACTGTATTTGGCCCTAGAGCAAAAAAATAAATTTAAAAAAAGAATGGTACAATTATTCTACTCACATCTTACATTCTACTCAAATTTATTCTACTCACATCTTACATTTAATACTCAAGTACAGTAAGATATAAAAAATATAATATAATTTAACCTAGATATTAAACAAGTGTGAAATCTACTCCCCAAAGGACAAAATGTAGCAGAAAAGGTCTTTTTTTATCAATCTAGTTTCACTTTTGGAAAGATCTTGATCAAAAACTCCATGTAAGAATCACAAGTAACATATATTATGATTCAACATTTTCTTTCAGTAACCTTGAATGATGGAAGCTAAGTACCTGGAGACCTGGCTGGCAACTGCTGATAGGGGAGTGTATCACTAAGAACCATTACTAAGTGAAGATTGAAACCTAAATAAGGTTGATGTTTGAACGGAAAGATAAGGTTTTTTCCCCACATAATTGACCCTTTTTTAATAACGTTTTAATCTAGTGCAACTGTTTAATGTCAAGCTATTTTATGTCTTTGCGCTTGTAGCTGTCTTCTAACATTGCTTGAATGTATAAGTGAGTGATTCGTAACAGAATTTGAGATGATATAAAAGTGAGGGAAGAAAAAAATTAAGGAAAAAGCTGCAAATACAATGTACTGTAGGCTGTTACTGGTTACCTGTTTCTCAGTTGGGGATCCTCTATATTTTTATACCAGCACTACTTTATAGACAATATAAAATTAAAGGTCCCAATCAATGCTCCTTCTGCAGTGGCATATCTACAGTAGCAGCTTTAAAGTGGGGGAGGGAGATAGGGGTAGGGGGCCCATGAAGGTGAAGTGAGGAGGGGATCGATGATTAAGAAACGGAGCACTAGCTCAATTTTTATCTACTTGAGCGTGGTTTTTTTGTACTGCCCTCATGTTGAACCTGTTAATGATCCTTTATGCAATCACTGATGATTTCAATCATGTTAACAATAGGTTATTTGAATATAAAATAAACTTTACAAAATTGTTGTCAAAATGATATCAATTACAAATCCTACCTCATCTTGAATATTGTAGCAAGATGAAGAGAGAATGCCTGCATACACACACGTTTCTATTTGTTTATAGTCGCTTATTCCTCGATCGCAATATGTTACTTCTAACGACCTCCTGCAGCATGAGCTAAAAATATTTTCACAAGATATACGGTCAGATTCCGCTATGCCTACGACGTTATCGTATGATTCGCAGTGCAAATTAGTAGTTCCAAACTCCTCACCAAGACTGCAGCATCTTGTCATTATGCTCTGAATTGCACCTGAAAATGGAAAAATTATAATTATTCAATTAATAATTAATCAATTAATTAATTATAATTATTCAATTAATAATTAATCAATTAATTAATTATAATTATTCAATTAATAATTAATCAATTAATTAATTATAATTATTCAATTTTATAATCAAAATTCAAAATAAAAACCACTTATGCTCACTGTTATTGGCATTTTCACTGTTGGGGGTGAAATGAAATAAAATAATAAACAAAAATAAAATAAATAAAAAAATAAAAATAAAATAAAAAATAAATAAAAAAATAAAATAAGTCTTGATAATTTGAAATCAGCAACACATAGTTTGTTGCTTCATCACATGTTTATTGAAGCACTTAAAAAATTATAATTATTCAATTTTATAATCAAAATTCAAAATAAAAACCACTTATTCTCACTGTTATTGGCGTTTTCACTGTTGGGGTGAAATGAAATAAAATGGGAAAAAAAATAATAAACAAAAATAAAATAAATAAAAAAATAAAAATAAAATAAAATAAAAAAAATTAATAAAAAATAAAATGTCTTGATAATTTGAAATCAGCAACACATAGTTTGTTGCTTCATTACATGTTTATTGAAGCACTTATGTACAACTTTTGAAATGTTAATAATAGTTTTGCCATTTACTTTGATGAAACATTATGCAGAAATATTCGTCTGACCACCTCACCCCACCCCTCACAATATCCACCTGTTGAGCAAATGCATGATTGGGTTGGAGATTATTTTCTTTCAGTTGCATTGGTTTCGTTCATTGCACTCAAGAACATCCAAGCAAAGCACTTTTTAAATAACATTCAGGAAACAAATCTCCTTTGGGAATTGATAAATTTGTAATTTATTTAGTTGACCTCAAACTTTGACCCCTAACCAAGAGATGTTCTGTATGTCTTTATGTATTTCTTTACAAGTGCGGCAATGTCCATTGGTTAAAAATATCCTAACCAAATCCCCGGGAGCTTACAACATCAATGTCAGTTAAAAATTTGATTAAACATATCCTGAAGGGAATCAGAGAGTGGTGTGCAAGTGTGTGGGACACCGTCTTGTATCATAAATGATAAACAAATTACTGGTACACACATTTCTAATTGGATTTTTATTTAGTAGAAGCATAAAAAAACACAAATAACTCACCAGATATAAAAATATACCTACTAAATTAAATTACATCGGGGCCAGTGAGACAAGCAAAATGTTTATAAAAAAAAAATGAATTGCCTAATTTATAATACATTTCAAAAAGTTATTTAATTCAAAAGTCAAATCAGTTTCAACTACAAATTAGAGCAAAGAAAAATCAAATTTCAATTTGGAATATGACAACAAAGACAAAAATGTTCTTTGATTTGTTTTTATATTTCTATTTTCATTGATTTTAGCAACAGTTCCCTTTTCTGATTAACAAAACATCTTTTTAAAAAACATCCAACATACTTTCCTCAGCTTTTATTTTCACAGATGTTACACATTTAAAACCTGTGAAAGATTTAACATGTGGAGGCAAAATGGGGTTCAGACTTCAGCATACTGTTATAGGCTATGTTCTCACACGGCTGCTAACGGTTAGCAGGATCTGGATCCTGCTAACCGTTAGCTGCTGTACGTCCATACGAGAAAATCCCGATCCGGATACCAACAATATGAAGATCGAATCACTGGCCAATAAGAAACTGGAAATTGTAAACGCGTACGTGTGATTGGTTGATGATAGAAATGCGCTCAACTTCCTAACCGATAGTGCTTGCTAACCGTTAGCGGTATCCGGATACCGCTAACGGTTAGTGCTAACCGATCCATCGTTCTCAGACAGGTGCTAACGGTTAGCGCTAACGGTTAACTCCCCATCCGGATACTAGGGCTCTCGTGAGAACCAGGCTTATATGATTAAGTGTGCATGAGACATTTTTTCCAAAAGCATTTTTTTTCACCATGAAATTGTGAAAGCAAGTTCATTGGTTTGTCGTTAAGAGAAGGCTACCAAATTCAAAGAACACTAAAGTTCATAGAAATGGAAGCAGATTCACTAGGTAAAATGTTAATAATTTTTTCCTCTTGTTTAATCACTCTCACAAAAAAGTGTCTAGAGATGTTCACAAGTGGAAGACATCAGCTTTAAACAAACTTTGATTCATAACTTGCACAGCAGACAGGTGAGTAAAATAATTATAGCTGTTTTAATGTTGCCTGTTCATTGGCAGATGTGTTTAGGCTTGTTATAAATCACTACATATTTGGTCATGTTAGCATTTGGTGAACATGCTTACTTGAATTATTATCTCATTTTAAGACCTGACAATGTTATTAGCTGAGGTCCGGTACCATGTAAACGTGACTAATTCAATTGGGGTGTTTACATCATTTTTAACAAGGTGATCGACCTGGCAAATCTGATTATTTGAGGTTCATGATGCTCTATAAAATAATCATAAATAAAAAATATGGTAAGAGTAAGGTCTGTAGGGTAAGTACTAAGTCTACTAAAATTAAAGCAAAATAAAACCAGAAAATTAAGAATTCTGGAAAAATTAACATTCAAATCTTAAGGCTTTTCACATAAATAAATTTCACAATTTATAAGCGTCGCCAGAAGAAATTAATATCAAAGTATTACAGTAGTACCGGTTTATCAATAAGAGTTCAAAAAGGTCAGCTTTGCTGGATATAGAATATCATTTTAATGAGAGTGATCATCATCCTTGTTAAAAAATGAAATTCAATATTAAGAAATAAAAATAATTAATCAACGACAAATATCAACTTTACTTGGAAGAGGATCAAAGACGGTCAATTCTAAAAATCTCAACATGATCAATTGCCCATCAATTATTTGTTGAAGTGGAATCGTACAACAACCTGGGAACATGGTCATATATCGCCACTTTTGATCAACCAAACAGAAACTTGATTCTGGATGGAGAACTCCTGAAAAATGCCTCAAGGTATATAGCGTCCTTATCTTGCAATCAACATTTTCTGTGATCTCATGAATCCAGAAAAAAACGTGCTCAAAGAAAGGACATTGGACCTAGAGTGTGAATGTTACATGCAGAGGAACATTTCAAGTATTTAGACACCTGACCATCCACCGGTTGGAGAGGATTTGTTGCAATGTGGATGTCTGCCAATACAAATTTAATTACATAGAAAAATATTCTTTTGTGTAAAACCTGTATGCTTACTTTTTAATTGTAAACAGTTGGTTGGTTGGTTGGTTTAACCATGGAGGAATTATGGTTTAACCAGAAAGCACTTTTTTCCATTTAAATGTGAAAACTGATGGAAGTTTTATCCACAAATCTAAGTACCTGTATTTTAAAAACTACTAGTAATTCAGTAGCAATATATACCTATGTAAAATTTAAAAAAACAATAGTGTTACCAAACAAGAAAGATAATTGGCACTTTATTATATATTAATGCTTGCGGTAAACCACGTAGATAGTAGTCTAACTACGTGGCGTACCGCAAACATTAATGTATATTATTACTTCGCCATGCAAACCTACGAACAATAAATTGGCACTTTGCAATGATCCACTAACTCTTGTGCTACCTTAATTGTCCAAAAGTTTTCAAAAGTTTCAAAATAACACAGTTTTTAAAACTGGGTGATGGAAATATTTTCACTGCAAAGAGTTTATTCACCCCCTCTCTAACACAACATAGAGCCGTTCAGTTCAATTTTTTTTTGTGTGTAATATGCAATAAAATTGATCATTGCTATCCTCAGAAAAATGAAAAATAAAAATCTCCTCTCATTATTACTACTAGATGATATTCTAATTATTATTTGGCCAAACATATTGTCATCCACCGCTTAGATCCTCCATAATTAAAAATGGGAATCTACATACCACCAGAAATGAAACTGATAATCTAGATTAGGATAACTTGCAGAGATGACTGGAAAGATCTCATGCTAACAGAATCAAACTTCCTGTATGAGGGACGGACACTAAATGCTTTTGCCATGTGATATGAAAATATGGGGCAAACATTTTAAATTAACTTTGTTTATTTGAAAATGTGTAAAAGGTTAAAGTAATATTATTTTTGCATCCTGAACAAAACATTCTCAGAAAAATGAAAAATAAAAATCTCCTCTCATTATTTTTACTAGATGATATTCTAATTATTATTGGGCCAAACATATTGTCATCCACCGCTTAGATCCTCCATAATTAAAAATGGGAATCTACATACCACAAGAAATGAAACTGACAATCTAGATTAGGATAACTTGCAGAGATGACTGGAAAGATCTCCTGCTAACAGAATCAAACTTCCTGTATGAGGGACGGACACTAAATGCTTTTGCCATGTGACATGAAAATAAAGGGCAAACAATTTAAATTAACTTTGTTTATTTGAAAATGAGTAAAAGATTAAAGTAATATCACTTTTGCATCCTGAACCGAACATTCACTGGCCATCATTAAAAGAAAAGGCGCATGTAAACCATAAACCTGTGAAAGGGAGGAAGGGTGCATTGAGATGACGTAGCATCACGATCACAATGCAGGTACCTAGATGGCATTTTGCCATATATCAAAGTCAAATGACTTTCAGAATTGTGTATGAATTTTATTTGTGATAATAATCCTTGTTCATTATTCTGCCTAACTCTTATGTGAGATTTATTTACTGAGCTGAGTGTTCAAACTCCAAATCAAAACTGATGCTATTTGGGTTTGAACCCGCCAGGTTTCCAGTGCAAGAAGCAATGAAATTCCCTCTCGGTCAAATGCCAAGCACTGTTCTTTGGAAGGTGAATTAATATAAACAGGAAAACAAGAAAGTGAAACTGAAGTATTTCCCCTTTCTCATACCACTTTTCCCAACCCATCCACACCCTCCTTCCCAAAACTTTGTCATACACTCTTCTATATCATTATATTATTACTATTATTAGTTATACTTTGTTAGAATATTTGGCTCCCAGTGACTAGCATGCCTAGTATGGTATTAGGACACATACAACTAACCTAGTCTAACCAAAAGACATTCACTGCCAAAGGTATTTCTGCACTACTGAGCTAAACAATTAAAAAAAAAGTTTTATTAAACTTAGCATATTGAATTGTGGTTTATTTTAAACATTTGGTATCCAGATTAGGCCTCAACCTTGACTGGTAACACAGGCAATACACAGCATGACTTCCTTCGAAGCTAAGACCGAAGCAAGACAATAGCAAAATGTCAACATATCACCTGCATGGCAAATGTGGCTAAAAATCATAGCCACACAGCAACCCTCAACCATAATGAAAATGGAGCTGTTCGGTAGGATTGGATATCACAATGCTCCAGAAAATAAGCACTTCTTCATTGGAATTCATTGCTGGGGTACAGATGCACCCTTCAGCTAAACCTGGAGGCTATTCACTGGCATTGATGATACAATATGATCTGTGCCATAATGCTTCATATAATGATCTTGGGAATTCCTTGCTGTTTAAATGCAATACAGGGGTAACCTTCTTGATCCCATTCACACAAGCAAAGACAAATTGGCTGATAAATTCGACTGAACTTGGTACCAATGATATGTGCATCCCTCATGGGTTAATAGGGAGCAAACTTGATACATCTACTTCAAACACTACATTATTGAAAAAACATGCGTCACTTGAAGCCAATGTTTATATTACATTATCGTTAAAAATTTATCTTTTTCATATAAATCAAATCAGATTATAGCAACAATCACTCTTGCTCTTAATGTGTGTTCTTAGTTTCAATAAACACAGGGGTTTTTTTTTTACTGAGGAATTTCCTCATTTACATTAGGTTTTATGAACTGTGTGTCAATCTTAAACTAGTTTAAAAGTTACTTTCCTATTATTATATTTTTGAAGCCCTGTCAAGACTCAAATGTGACATGCTTAAATATGGTCATAATGACATCACAACATGACCATATATAGGCACATTATGACTATATATGAGTATACATCAGTTTTTTTTGTCAAAGAAAATTTGCTAATCTCTATAGAATTTTATATATATAAAATATATTAAATTAACAGCTATTATCTTTTATTGAATGAAAATTTTAATTACAACATAACAAAAAATATAACCAACATTTGGGCCAAGTAAAAGTTTAAAAAGTAATTTCTATAGTGTCCAAAAATTTGTAAAAGAAATGAGGAGACCCTTCTTTTGGCAGTGAGTCTTTTAATTGTGAAGGAATCAATTAATATTAATTGGATCTACAATTAATACCACAGGATACAGTCAAAATAAAAATCATACTAAAGTATTAGTAAAAAGAATGCAGCCAGAAACAATAATACTTTTTTTCTGATGATTTGCGTAAGAGTATCTAATGGAAAATTATATGTGCAAAGGGTTTCTACTTGTGTGCAAGAACAGGCAACTTGGATCCTACTGAAAAATTCTGCGCAAAATTAATTTTAATTGTGTTTCTATTCTATAACAACTAGATTTTTGCAATGCATAACAATAATAGACAAGATCAATATTGCAATAATAATTTGGAATTCAAACTGTGGTGTCCATGTAGGTTTTAATTGATAATTTTAATAATTTATTTAAAGTTAATTGAAATGTAGTGTAAATAAATAATACCATTTTTTATTTCAATAATAATTAAATTTTTATATTTTGCATAGACTTCAAAATCAGCAACTGACCAACAAAGACTAATCAGAAAGCAAAATATGTGTTTCATTGGAAATTCTGTGATTTTAATTGTATTAAATGTTTTAATTGGATTCTATTTATTTATACATTTAACAAATTTTAGTCACTGGTAAGTAAAATTATTATGGAGTAAGTGTCCATGATTACAGTTTTTCTTCTTTAAATAAATAAATTAAATGTTTAACCCTGTTTATTAAGATTGAAGGAAGTTGTTATTTCTGCAATAATGATCCATAAAAGTTAGTTTAATGTAGTAAACTACAAGCCTACACTAGTCTACACTGCAATTAGTACATGCTTCCTGACTAACTAGCTTACTTACTGGCCTCTTTACCTTCACCATAATTCATAAAAAGTCCAAAGACAACCAAAAGATGTCCAAATCGATGCATCATTACCAACAGTTATCTATTGGGCTCCAATTGGGAAAGTTCAAAACAAAATTCCTGCTGATAAAATCTCTCTATGAGAAATCAAGCCAGCTTAACTTGAGCAGTTGCTTCTAACCCTTGCAAACTCCAATTCTTAACTGTGATTCAGAAGTTACAGTACTTCTGAAGTGAGCCAATAACTTCTGTCAATCACACGGTTGAGTGGGTTCGCGGGACAGATTATCAGCTACCACTTGCTGTGCTGCTGTTGTCAAAATGTTTCCCCGAATGATGAGCTCTTGAGAGAACAGAGTTGAAGCTCTATCTACGCCAACATCCTCAGATTACAAAAAGATATGCGGCATGGTAAAAAAACATATCATATATGCTATGATCTGATGTTAATCTTTACATTTTAACCATCCGGACAATGACCTTACCTGTGAAAATAATGGACTAATCCAGGCTGATCTGTGATGTCAGAGCTGAGCGTCAGAGTGTATGAGATATTGAAGCTTAACAAACTTTAATAGGTGCCCGCTGCTTGAGCACTCTGGGGCCATTAAACACCTTTCAACATTAATCTTTAAATTGCTCTTTTCTGCAGATGGTAGTGTCCCCATGGTCAGAGGAAAAGACCTCTCTGCTTATGAAATCCTGGCAAGAGATAGGTAAACATATTAGCAATGCACACACAAATATTTTAATGAGAATATTTCTTATTTAATATGTCATAAAAGGTCTCAATCACTGAGGATTTTCTTTAGTTTACCAATAAAATCACAGTGGGATACAATTAAGGACTTTGTTACACATCACATGTGATTACATTTTCATAAACTAGGAAAATAGTTTGTATAATTCTCGAAGGCAGCCAGTTATATTTAGCTTGTAAATGAAAACATTTATGTTTTCGACTATCGGGTAACAGCCTCTGCAATGTTACTATGAGGCAAAATAGACCAAGTATTCTGGGTATTGGTCCCTGCCCTACCTTCCCTCTTATCCACCCACTAAGACAGATTAAGTTTGAAGTTTTATTTGTAAAATACAGAGAAATATCCACTAAATACATAACTATGGCATAGGCAGCCAAGAATTGGATATAAAAAAGCATGAAATATACTCCAAAATATTAATCACAATGGCTTCTTGTATTATTTTATAATTACATTATATTCTTCCATCATTTCAAACTCATTTATTAACATATTCCGTCTATTGCTGAACTTCTTGTATATCGACACTAAGGAATTCTCTAACGAAAAGAATTATACATGATCATGATATAAAATTTGATCTATTTAGTATTTAAGTTTTTAACAGTAATTATGATTATTATGACTGTGAATTTAACAGTAGTTTTTTGAATGGTCACATTTATCGTGTAAACACTAAAGGAAAGCTCCATCCACAAGTCATCAAAGTTAATGTCCCTTTAAAACTGCTTAATATGATACATGATGGCTAAAGTATTGACCAATTAAAACCAGACTTATATTTCTGACCAGTTCTCAAACTGGCACGTTTGACCATTAGGGGACAACTAGAGTTACAAAGGTCAGACTCGCATTTCTATTTCTTTTTCTTTTTCTTTTTTTTTTTTTTTTTTTTTTTTTTTTTTTTTATTATTTATTTAGGCACACAATACATGTGCCAAGGATTGTCAATAGCGAATATATCACTGTCCTACTTGTAGGTGACAATCCCTTTCACAAGACAAACATACACGCACAATGCTTTACACAAACTAAATCTCAATATGAGATTTAGAGAGTGGAGTTGTTTTGGTCATGAGAAAAAATCCTGCAACACGGACAGGAATTGAACCCAGGACCCTGGGATTGGAAGGCAAGCATCTTAACCACCAAGCTATTCAACTCCACTCCAATGTCATAAGATGATAATTGATAATGACAATGCATGTATGAAATCTGCTTAGGTTAAAATCCCCAGCCACTAACATTTCAATTACTTAAAAAAGCTTTATATTATGAAGAATAACAATCTAAAAAGGAACTTACCTTTCAAAAGACCATTAATTAAATATTCTGCAGTGAAATCACTTTCAAACATAAATCAAACAAATACGGTATTAAAGCCTTGCTGGTTAAGCAAAACACACACAAAAATAGATTAGTTGCATCTAAGAGCTTTATCATTTAAGAATGAAAAAAGTAAAAATAAATGAAAACTATAATTGATAGTAATCTTTGAACAAATTAAACCACGCAAAAGACAAAATATACAAAATGACTGCTCAAAATAAAATGCTATATCAAAATAAAATTAGTTGATTAAAACAAAATTTAATCTCTCTTGAAAAGAGTTATCACATAGTACAGTCACTGAACGGTATTAAATAGTTTAAAATGTCAGTTTGTTGTTTTTCTTTTCAATTACACTACAACAAAGACATTTTACTCAATAAACTGTGGCTTGACTAATACTGATGACAATAATGACATTGTTCTGATTATATCTATAATGCTATCCATTCAATTAACATTTATTTAAGTCTTGATGGACATTGTGACAGCACGTTGACATGATGTTGTTTATTTTTCACCAGGAAATACACCGAGAAACTCCAGTAGATATCATAATATCCCAGCAAGAAATACAGCATGGTTAAGATAAATAATTACATATATGCCAAGGACAAGCCCAACCAGTCACTCCTAGCATATTATATTATTAATACACGGTTAAACTTAAAATGATTTTTATAAAATGGTAATCATTTAAATCATTTTGTTACAGTTAGCAAGTTACAAGAATTTAAACATAAAGCTCTTAAAGAAGAGCATTTGAAAAATCAATATTCAGAAATTTCTCAGGCTGAGCCCATCACCAAATCGTAAAAAAATTTTAGATATTAGGTTTAGTTTCGTGTGATAAAACAAATTTCAAAAATTTTTCAAAAACGTTTTAGTTATTATCTCTGAAACAGGATTTGCGACGAATGACTGGTTTGGCTTATATTCGCAACATTATTTTTATTTATTTTTATTTAATAATCGCCACACAAATACAAAAATACAAAAGTGAAGGAGACGCACCAACAGGTGACAAACACCTCTACCCTCTACAAGGGCTCACTACTTAAAATATAAATACAAAAAATAGAAATCTGGATATAAAAATGACAGCACAAACACGAACACAATAAAGGAATAAGAAAAATTGTGATTGTGTGATAGTGGTCAGTAGGACATCATACAAAACAGGGAGGTCTATAAACATATCATTAATTAATTGCAATATAATATCTTAAGTTTCTATTATTGTCAGCAATTTAGTAAAAATAAATTAATTCATATTTAATATAGATTTTAAAGAAAAAAAATAAATCATTTATATAGTATATAAATCCAGTTTTCAAGGAAATAATTACACCAACTTGATAATAAAGGCAGTACTTGGACAGGAAGACACCCAAGATACCGACAGTTGCAGTATGACAACAGTAAATAAATAAATCAATAATACTCATTAAGGTAATAAACGATGCAAAGTAGGGCAAGATAAAATTCAAATTGTTTTGTTTTTTTTTTCACCACAAACTGTAAAAACTTCCTTTCAGATTTTGCAGATAAGATCTAAATGAAATATTTCTAAAGCACTTTAAAGACTATCAATAATAATAATAAACTTTATTCATTCAACCACCTATGGTACAATACCAAAACCAAGAAGGCAATGCCTGTAAGCAGGTCCAGTGCTAACTAATAAGTTAATGCCATAAATTAATGCCTTAAATAAATATCAAACGGATACAAACATGGTCCTGAACTCGCCTAACTCTCCTGAGAGGGTTATTCAAGGAGCTGAGCGTTTTTTGTTATTATAAAATCTTATTTGACAAAAACAAACATGCCTAAATATGGTCATAATGACATCACATCATCACCATATATAGGCATATCATGACTATATATGGGCATACAACAGTTTTTTGTCAAAGAAAATTTGTGTGAACGAACTTTAGGTAAGGAATTTGAATGAAAATTGAAATTGGAATGATGAAAACACCTCGAAAAAGAAACTAAACTCGGACAACCTAAGGCAAGTTCATGTCCAGGATTGTTATTTTAGAGTTGTGGCAGACAATAAAAGAAAAAGAGTTGAAAAAAACCAGGCTAAGATCTCCTGTGGTTGATGTGGCTCATAGTGACACTAATTGAATATCTTGTCATAATAATTTCATTTTATTCAAAAAAACATTTGGTTTAGTGGCACATACCATCTGCTGGTGGATATAAATTACAAGTATACAGTGAAAAAGACATATTAATAGTTAAGACTTAATGTAAAGCGCCCACAGGGATTTATGTTCCATAAGGTGCTATAAAAATATGGTTTTATTATCATTATCATATCACAGAATAGGAGAGATGTTTTTGCCCTACCTGACGTGTTATCATACTGAATACCCAGTACATTCCCAAATACTTGTGAAAAAAAAAAAAAATCGCAAGTGAGAGTTCACAGAATTCTGTACAGTTGTCGTTATTACTTATCGTTTTCTTATCACAATTACAGTACTTATATAGCAATTACTGTCAGTACCTATATTCCATGGTACTATTCATCTTACAGCTGAGGTTCTGCGCACTGCTTTGCAAAACATTCTATTATTTTTTCAGTATTTTGCCTTTGGACTTTACATGTCAAATTTCATAACTCGTCTCATGTTCTTGACATAATACGCTGTGTCTGTAACATTGTGATTGTCTATTTACAGTCGATTAGGTTTGAAAAGGTTTACACAGACAGCAATGTCTGGTGTCTTCAGAACTTTTTGCCTTTTGACTTTTAGTCTAAGGGATAAGTAGAGCGGGAAAAAAAAATTCAAGGTCCCGTCAAAAATGTCTGATTTGTACACAGTGTCATCACCACTTATTATTTTGGAAAGAAATTATCAGAAAATATCAAGACAATGCCTGGAAATTGAAAAAATTAAAATAATAAAATTAAGTTGCAATGCTTTTACATTTCCCATAGCAATGGTACAAATAAGTCACCATCAGTAAGATGTGAATATTAATGATAATGTAGAGGATTATTATGCTTTTTAGTATTTATAAAAGTTTCTGCTGTGTTCATTGGAAACAGTAACAACACAATGTGCCACTTATGGGTCATGGCATTGGACTCCTTCCAATTACGCATACCTGTACATACAACATT